TATGAGTGCATTATAAGCACGCTGCAAAGCAAAAGGAAAACACGTTTTACGAAGCCTTTGTAGAATGTTGCGGCTTAATCGCAATTTAAATCGGCTGGGACGAATATAGTCACAATAAGAGGAGCAAGTGAAAGAAAGCTTTCGAATAATTTAGTTTCGTGTCCAGACCTCAATCCCCGCAATTTCTCGTTTCTTTTATATCGTTGAGCGCTGTTAAACTAATTAAGCTCCGAGATAGGCTGCATGTTTTGCACTCGCCTTATTTAAATTATCGTGGTCTTTCCAGGGACAAACCATGCTTGTGAAAAGTACGGCGATTGCTTTGCTTGCTCTTAACCATAACCGAATTCGTCATTTCCTTTTCATAAATCCAGTTTAGCTTGAAAGCTGCTCTGCTTTCTTAAGTTGTCTTGAACGCTTCTCATTTGCATAGCTTCGTTCATGGGCTTAAGCAAAGCCTTTTTCGGAGAAGCAATTTTTTTAACCTTAACTAGTTGAACATAAGAGCTCTATGTAGTTTGCACAATATGTTTTGCCCTGTTCGGTACCACAGAGCGTAATAGGGTGTCCCGATTTTAGTCCTATATTGTTAACTCGCAAGGTATTATGCAATATAAAGTTCCTCCATATAACACTTGGTGAGAATGCACATGCATGAACCGTAGTAGTTTAGATGAGAGCTACCGTGTGAGTGGTAGCAATTGGTCTTGCTTTGCAGCATGCACGGAAACGAATAGGATCATCGGAGGTCGTCATCCTTACTGACTCCCATGCTGCCCTTTGCAGACTTTTGTGAAGGGATCATCATTTGTCTGACTGCACCCGTTGCGGGGCAAAGGCCTCTCCCACGTTCCGTCAATCAACCCGATAGAGTGCTTGCTGTGGCCGCGTTATCCTAGTAAACTTCTCAATCTGATCTGCCCACCCTACTTCCTGGCTCTCCCTTGCGCGTTTGCGTTTTCTTATAAACTTGTCTGCTGGTTTTGATGACCCGCGGTTATTTTCTCTACGTGGCAATCTGCTCTGCCCATATCCATTGCTTCTTAATGTAAACTAAGTAGTCCTTAAAGGCGTACTTACACAATTTTTAAGCTTCGCAAAAAGGAACATTTTTCGTTTGCATGATATGCACTGTCAATGCTTTTTCTTATTCTCTAACGGAGGTCCCCCCGACAGTTTTCTAACTTCGGGACCTCCTCTGTACTGTAGAATTTTATTCATGTAAAATGTATGCATTCCTGAAATAAAGTTTGATTGAAGTTTGAAGTTTGAAAAGTTTACACACTGGAGCCAGACAATGCGTATAAAATTCTTTACTGTGATTTTAAACTTTTCGTCATTTAGCATCTGGAAACCAGCCCCACCGCAATGTACATTATCACGATAATAATAATAATAAGATCTGGGGTTTAACGTCCCAAAACTACTATAAAATTATGAGACACACCATATTGGAGGGCTCCGGAAGTTTTGAACATCTGGTGTTCTTTAACGTGCACCCAAATCTAAGTACATGGGCCTCTAGCATTTTCTCTTCCGTCTAAATTGCGACCGCCCTCGCCAGGATTCGATCCCACGACCTGTAGGTCAGCAGCCGAGTGCCTTAGCCACTAGAACACAGTGGCGGGTCCATTATCACGACTATAGTCAACACGGTTCCCTGGGTTTGCGAAGTCTGCGTTCAGCATGCAGCCTAAATTACAGAAATCGATGTCGGGGTCACTGGGCAACAATTAATTCATCCGTGAAGTCACGAACAACGCGTGACTCACAGCGAAAGATAGAACTGGTTCTAGTAGATCGTGAGTTGCTGTCTTCTCGTGACATCAGACTTGCGTTGACAAGTCACTGCGAAGGCACCCCTTTGGTACCGAAATATAGTCTTTTTTTAAGTAGCGATAATAAATATATATACAATGCATTCCCAAGCACTATACGACATCATTTTCAGTATTCTTGACGCCTGTGTTTATAAATCAACAAGCCGAAAATATTGAAATTTCGTGTCAGTACTCCTTTAACACCAGTTTCTTCCCTGAGCAACTTCGCTCTCTTCTTGTCCAGTAAGTTAACACCTATCATTTTCCTCGAAGTAGCGCCTACAATATTCAGAAAGGACGCCGATACCCAACCCTAGGCAGTATTATCAATTCCGCCAGCGAAATTCTCTGGTGGAGTTTATGCTTTCACATTTTAATAATGCTGAAAATGAAAACTCGTATACCCGCAACAAGAGCGACTGCCCAAGTATTTCTGCCCATTAATGACTTGCTGAATGCTTCCAGCCCATTACAAAATGATCCCCCATAATTATTCATCGTTATCAGCTACTGAATCAACGTAGTGCATGCCTTGTAGAAGTGTAGAAGAGACCTCGCTTTTTCGCAGAATAAGGAATGATGGCATAGTGGTTGCTCTTTTCACACAAATTATGATTTATGACATACTGCGTGGCATGCAGGTGTACCTGTAGTAGTCTCCACAAGAGTTTTTCAAATGTTTTCCAGAAACGGCGCTCTTTCAGCTTTTTCTGTGACAGTGATGCGCATTTCGCACAGGCCTGGTGTTTTTTTTTTTTAGTCTAAGAAATTGCAGCACACTTCTACATTTTTCAAGTGTGTGTGTGTGGGGGTGTTTTTAGCACTTCAATGCAGTATGCAAACGTGTAAACAAATAAAAATATTTTTTCATGCTTAAAACGTATACGGTTTTGCAATCAGAACTGAATTGAAAAGAAAAAAGTTACGGGGTAGTTTTCGGCACTGAAGAGTGCGTTCTTATCTTCAGACCAAAACGCGAAGCACAGACTTTTTTCAATGAGTATCTTCGCGAACTTGTGCATGCAGATTCTCGGTGAATAAAACCCAATGATTTAAGAGAACGCCCAAGACTGACTGCATACGAACAGCGCGAAAATCGCAAGGAGGGCGATAAACAAGAAATCGGAAGTATATATATATATATATATATATATATATAATATATATATATATATATATATATATATATATGATTTGTGGGGTTTAACGTCCCAAAATCATCATATGATTATGAGATGAGAGACGCCGTAGTGGAGGGCTCCGGAAATTTTGACCACCTGGGGTTCTTTAACGTGCACCCAAATCTGAGTACACGGGCCTACAATATATAATATATATATATATAATATATATATATATATGATCATTAATCCCGGTTTGTTCCATTATCCACTCTGCTCTCTTCTTGTCTCTTAAGGTTACACCTACCATTTTTCTTTCCATTGCTCGCTGTGTCGTCCTCAATTTAAGCTGAACCCTCTTTGTAAGTCTCCAGGTTTCTGCTCCGTAGCTAAGTACCGGCAAGATACAGCTGTTATATACCTTCCTCTTGACGGATAGTGGCAATCTACCTGTCATAATTTGAGAGTGCTTGCCAAATCTGCTTCACCCCATTCTTATTCTTCTTGTTACTTTAATCTCGTGGTTCGGCTCCGCGGTTATTACCTGCCCTAAGTAGGCACAGTCTTCTACAACTTGAAGTGCACTATTACCTATCTCGAAGCGCTGCTCTTTTCCGAGGTTGTTGTACATTACTCTCGTTTTCTGCAGATTATTTTAAGACCCACCTTCTGCTCTCCTTGTCTAACTCCGTAATCATGAGTATATATATATCTATATATATATATATATAGTATAGTGGGAGTAAATATTCAATGGGCCAGTTAGTCTTCGTGAAGGTATGGGATATGGCACAACGGGAGCGTTGTCAACAAGGATAAATATATTTATTTTCCAACAGTTTCGGAGGGGTCCTCCCTTCATCAGGGATGAGTTATACTGACAGTATAACTCATCCCCTGATGAAGGGAGGACCCCTCCCGAAACTGTTGGGAAATAATATATTTATCCTTGTTGACAACGCTCCCGTTGTGCCATATATATATAATATATATATATATATATATATATATATATATATATATATATATATATATATATATAGCCGACAATATTTAAAATATAGCCAAAAATTTTAAACTGTAGCCGAAAATATTTAAATTTTCGGTCAGTAGTCCTTTAACACTGGTTTCTTCCCTAAGCAACTTTACTCTCTTCTTTTCCCCTAAGCTAGCACCTGTCATTTTCCTCGAAGTAGCACCTACATTATTCAGAAAAGACACCGATACCCAACCATAGGCAGTATTATAGAATACGCCAGCGAAATTCTCTGGTAGAGTTCATATTTTCACACTTTAATAATGCTGAAAATTAAAACCCGTACCCACAGCGAGAGCGACTGCCCAAATATTTCTGCCCAGTAATGACTTGCTGAATGCTTCCAGCCCATTACAAAATGATCCCCCATAATTATTCATCGTTATCAGCTACTGAATCAACGTAGTGCATGCCTTGTAGAAGTGTAGAAGAGACCTCGCTTTTTCGCAGAATAAGGAATGTTGGCATAGTGGTTGCTCTTTTCACACAAATTATGATTTATGACATACTGGGTGGCATGCAGGTGTACCTGTCGTAGTTTCCACAAGAGTTTTTCAAATGTTTTCTAGAAAAGGCGCTCTTTCAGCTTTTTCTGTGACAGTGGTGCGCATTTCGCGTAGGCCTGGTGTTTTTTTTTTTTTTAGTCTAAGAAATTTCAGCACACTTCTACATTTTTCAAGTGTGTGTGTGTGTGTGGGTGTTTTTAGCACTTCAATGCAGTATGCAAACGTTAAAACAAATAAAAATATTTTTTCACGCTTAAAACGTATACGGTTTTGCAATCAGAACTGTATTGAAAAGAAAAAATTACGGGGTAGTTTTCGGCACTGAAGAGTGCGTTCTTATTTTCAAACCAAAACGCGAAGCACAGACTTTCTTCAGTGAGTATCTTGGCGAACTTGTGCACGCAGTTTACCGATGAATAAAACCCCGTGATTTAAGAAAACGCGCATGACTGTCTGCATACGAACAGCGCGAAAATCGCAAGGAGGGCGATAAACAAGAAATCGGAAGTGGCCTTACCTTTCTCCGTTTTGACATGTCCGCCTGTCACTCCAAGCACCGGTGAGGTTGAACCACCGCAGCTCGGCCGCGCCGACTTGTGTCTTTCTTCGGCGGTATCTCCGGCAACCGTCGCCGCTGCCACAGCGACAGCGGCAGACGTGTAGTGCTCGAAGCCATGGTGACGATGTTGCTGCTGGAAGACGCTCGCCTGGTATTCTATGGCTTCTTTCTGCAAGGGTGAACCAGACAAGAGCAACGCGGCGCCTCCTGCAAGCGAACTGGCCTGGGACCCGCGCACGCACAGCGCACAACACGGGAACCACGACGGAGTGGGAGGCGGCATCAGCGGTGGCGACGAACCAGCGAGTGACATGGGCCTCCGGCAGAACATGTGCTGCTGATGGTGGTGCGCCAAGACTGCGGATGGCGGCAGCATGGGCGTCAGCCAGCTGGAAACTGCGGCCGCGGCGGCTGAACTTCGGGATTTCGAACGATCCCTGGACTGTTTCGATGACTTGGTCAGCAGGGAGTCAACGTAAAACGACTTTGACGAAGGCATTTTGGAACAAAGTAGAAGGCAGCTTCCTAGTTTAATATGCTTCATTCACTGTGTTTCTTCAATGACAGAGGAAGGAGCTGGTTGGTCGGGGCCATGACTCTCTTTAGCGATGGGAGCACTCTTCGCAGGCTTACACCTCAAGCGAAAATTCCGGCACGAACAGCGCCTTCTCAGGCATCGGACAGCCACTCTATGCAGATCACTTGTTCTTGGATGTCAAAGTTGAGACAAGTTCGGCTCGCCTCCCAATCGATGAAACCTCGGCTATTAAAAAAACGCCGGGGTCTGCTGAGTGAGCCCGCCACCAGCGCTGCCAATTACTTGGCCCCAACGACGGCGTGCGTAGACCGCAACACGTGCTCTGCCGGGGAAGTGGCTCTCCGACCGAGCTATCCCATGCGGGACGTCCGGAACCGACCGACACGCGCGCGCTCAGCAGGGAGACCCGCGTGCTACCGTGTTGCGAAACCCGGAGTGCAGTCGGTGGGGCACGCCGACGAGTGTCCCGCTTCCTTTGCAGCCGTACGCGACCCCGAGTCGAGTCCGGAGCTGCGTCGCCCTGTCGTACCCCTCTTCGACCCCCCAACCCTCCCTTCCCCGCGAATCGAGTCAATCCCCAGATACCTGTTGCGAGACCGCTTTAGAGACGAAACAAAGTACACACAGACATGCGATCCCTCGCTCACGGCCGGGCGCTAACGCAAACCTATTCCGTCAAATCTCTCCCCACGGTCCAATCGGGACACTGAGGTGAAAGAGGAAAGCGAGGGAACACGAGGAAGGGGGGGGGGGTAGCCATAAAGGACCGGCCGCTGAGGGTCGGTGCGTGTTTAGGTTCGAAGGAGGGAGAGGGGGAGATATAGCAGCAGGAGGGAATGGGGGTCGAATGGGGCGTGCTGTATCCCACTGTGCCCCCCCCCCTTAACTGCGGTGAAAGCAGCGCCAAAGGGGGACCCAAAAGACCCGGCAGAGAATCGGGACACGCGACGACGCGACACAAAAGGCACCGACAATGTGGGCGAGGAGGTTGTCGGAAAAGAAGAGTCGCCTAAGTAGTCGGGCTCGCTGGGCACCGTAACGCGAGCCCCCTTCTCCTCGCCCAGCTTCAATCAAACCCTCTCCCAAACAGATTGCGATAATAATGACCGACAATTATTGGAGGAAAGGATGAAAAGGAGGGTAGGGACAATGCCACCAGGCGCCTCCCACGCGCTACCGCTTCGTGCGCTGATTGGACGCTCGTCGACAGTACACGGGGGGTATACATTGTCCCCCACCCTTACTCGGATGACTTTTGAAGGGCCTATGAGGTCGAGCGTTAGATAAGTGCCCAAAGCAGTCGGCAAGCCGTTTTAGAGCCACTCCGAGTAGTATTTACCCTACATGATCTGTCGGTTTATCAACGAACCGATTCCTCTCGCGTGAGTGGCCAAATGAAACGGTCGCTGAGCGATTGCGTCGGCAAAGGCCGACCGTCAATTATTTCCTCTCCATTTGAAAAAAAAAAAGAGAACCATACTGGTGTTTCGAATGACCCACCGCGAAGTCTAATTGTGCTCGGACACCATCACCACGCAGTTTAGCAGATCGTTACGGGCCACTCCATTCGCTCTGCAAACAAGATGCGTCCTCCGGAACGGTCCTTCTCATATCCAAACAATGCGGGGGCTTGGTAGCAATTCTCTCGTAATCCAATATAGCATCTCTGACAAGCTTACACAGAGCTGCTCTTTCGTGAAAACTGTACCTCCTATAAAGACAACGTAGGCTTCCTTTCGTGACATCTAAACCTGGGATACTACATCGTGGATTCAAGTGACACTATAAAGAGCCAAGATTCACGTTCGAACATGATTCTGAATATATTGATTACAAAACGTTTTGACAAGAGCGAGAAGCTGCATCGCTCGACAGCTCCACGATCACGCGAGCGAATGATTAATTTTTAGCAGGGTATTATATCGTTATACCTGTACGGCTTCTATTAAAAAAAAACTTTGAATCTATTCAGTGAAAATTCACATATGGGCACAGTTACGTGCATAACGCATACATTCCTAGAAGCGTGCAGTCCGAACACTTATAAAAGTATGAGTCAAAGCTGCATGGTTCATTGTGGAAGGGAATAAGCCATGCATGCAAACATGAACTCAAAAAACATAAGGGAATATGAGTTGTCTTATTCTCTGCGCTTCTGTCCGTGTTTGTACACTTCGCATTCTTTTATCATGAATAATTAGTAATAACTACTAACAAACTCAGTTCCCACAGTTAAAACTCAATCTTATGCCGATTTTCCGCTTCCCCCAAATAATAATCAGTTCGATTCTTAAGTCAAAATACGAACCTCCATTCCGGCAATAGCTGCATTATAAAAATAATGATGATAAATTCAGTATTATTGGCCATTTACCATTCACAAATGTCCGGTTTCCACGCTTCTCAACTCCCCCATGTTCACTTGGCGCGAACGATGTTCGTCTGACTCATGTACATCCCGCCATCGCCAACGCGAGAACATCGGCTGACCACACTTATACACATATACACTTCGTGCAGCGTACGCATGCATGCCAGTGTTGCTCACGCTTGGTTGACGGTCGCAGGCAGAGTTTGCTGACTGTATCTCACCTGCCCAGCCTCCGCGAATATGGATGTTATCTCTGTTCGTTTCCCTTCAGCGGGGACGGCGAGATGCAAACAGGCAACGGGCGTCGCGAAATGTTATAATACTGAGAACACGCGAAACGCTGCCTATAGCTCGGATCTCGATCAAGCCAGCCGATCTCTCTCGAGCAGCTTCGGTAATGAAGCTTTTAAAGCAGCTTAGTTTGAATTGGTCTGTCGTCGTGTCCAATATCTGAATGAGAGTGGGAACGACGACGTCGTTCAAACCACTTTGGGAAATTGACGTGGCGGAATCACGAACTCCAGAAAAACCATTGAGGCGATAACGAAAAAAAAAAGAGTTGTTTGCATCCTTCGAATAATGCCACCAGAAATTAATGTGGTTCGTTACAACTTAGCGAAACGTTAATTTGCATTTTCTCGTTGTATATGATATGTAAAGAGTGATTTGTAAACCATTAAAGAAATAATTAAAAACAAAGAACGATGGGTGAAAGTTCTTGACCTGGTGAGAAGTTTATGAGAAATTGGCTTCTATAGTAATCCACGTGTTTACGTAAAATCTCACGCGCAGGTGGCAAAGCCTATAGAAAAAAAATATTTTCATTATTCCAGAAAACATAGAAATGGAACGAGAGGAATTGCACAGGTAAAACTTATATTTGTAAAGATGGTATATAACTGCCTCCGTCACGGGCTTCACTAAACTCGCGAAAAATGAAGCGCTATCATTATGACCAGGCAGCTGGTCACGTCGCCTGAGCTTAATATGAAATCAGGGCCTATCCACGAATGGAATGATAAGTGGGCAAAGCCCCGGGGGATCTATCGGGTAACCAAATCCCCCGTACTTTGCCCACTTGAACATGCAAACGAATGACATGTGTGTACAGTATATACAATGTTTTTTGGTCGTATATAGGGTATGGAGGTGTCTATTTCATCTTCCCTTCATCAAGACTGCCTCATGATCAGTGAAATGAAGAACCAACGGTTCCATGCCACTGCAGCTTCGTGGGTGAGAGCGTGATCACGTTCATTTTGATCCATGACAGAAAGAGAATGTGTTGTCTAGAACGCGCTTATTTTTCATCATCAATTGCCACAGCACAAATTCGTATAACACCTAACAGATGTGTAGTGGCTACCTCAATCATCAGGAGAATGACGAATGGCATTGTGGCACAGTGGGCGCTTCATCGTCATTGTCGCGACGTACAGCTGGCACCTTGCATGTGCTGTGCCGTGATAGCAGAAAAATAATGTGTGGTCTAGAACACGATTGTTCTTTATTGTCATCAAAGTCGCAGTCATTGCCATCGAGGGGCGATGGCGGACATGGCTCGACCTTGAGTTTCACCGCTAAAACTTCGAAAGAATACGAGAGTAGAGGGAGGGGTCACATATATACGCTGTAAAAAGTTTGCCACATCACTTATCTGACATGGCTCACTTGCACTTCCTTTCTTGAAAAAATGGGCGCTTGGCCACTATTCACTTCATTTAAATGTGACCGCCGTGGCCGGAATTAAGTTCTACTCCCATTCCGTATCAACAGCCGAGCGCGATTATAAAAGAGCCACCACTGAGGATTGTATCCGCGTTGATGTGTACGTGTATGCCATAAAAAATCTACTTTACACGAAGGCGCGTACTCGCCAACTTTATACAACTCCTCTATTTATACCACTTCTATTTACTTCTCCGTCGGGCACCAACACATGCCATTCTTTGTCCATTTTACGTATAGCCAAATCAGAATCACGCCAAATATCTGCGACATTTGTAGACTGGCTAAACAAGTTAGTACAAGTGCCAATCGCACACCTGCATGAATCACTTTGACCGTGATGCTGCAGCAATGCGGTATCCAATTTCCCAACTGGAGTTCATGAGCTGCGAGTACAGAGTGAACCGGGCCTGGTGCAAGGAGTTGCCGAGCATCCCGTATAGACGACATCGTTGTGCGAAGCCATCACAGGGAAGATTATACAACCAGCAGAGAGGGGTCTGGAACATGCGACCCTCACGTGACTCTCTCCACTCCACATTTTTTGTATGCTTTTAATCGGTGTGTCCGTGAGCTACACAGGCGTGACTTGTCTAAAGCATTGCTTTCGTGACTCGCCCCATGCGGTCATCATGCCTTGAAACATCACTTTGAAACAAAGAATTCGTTCCAGAATCGGCGGCCGGATTCTAGAGATTCTAGAGATCGGTGTCAACATGGTGTTTGAATCCTGAAACCAAGTTTCCTCCAGAAATGGTCTTTATAAGAAATATTCGAAAGGTGTTCTTTGAAAGTGCAATCTTTGCTAACAATTTATATTCACCGCCCGCTCCTCTTCCGTTTTTACCCTCTGCCAGGCCCC